TTGAGCTAAAAGAGAAATGTCTCTGGTTTTCTTTTAAGAGTTTTTTTTTAAGTTTAGAACAACAATTATTATTTCCCACATAAGACAGAACATCTTAATCATATTTTTCTTGTCTTAGGAGAGATTTTCCACAATCACCCTTTTTTTTCCTCCTTGCTCGCCCATCACTGCTCATCAGAAGCAGTAATGGGTGACTGATGGATTGATTGATTGATGCTGTGTATGTTTACAAAATGACACAGTAAAATGCAAAGTGCACAATTGTTGATGTACAGTTGAAATATACTTTTACATATAAGTAATATATTATGTAATATAATAATAATAATGTGATATATATATGTGTTCTAGGTGCATAACTACCGGTACATGCAGACTAATACTGAGTTGAATGATACAAGTTGAGAGTTCTAGCACCCTGTTTTTAGTAACAGGATGACACAGTTATAATTTTACACTAATGTGCCCTTCAGTGTTTGCCACATAATGGTAACAATTAGACACCGGTACAATCTTGGTCTGTTCTACTCAAATTAAGACAAATTAAATCCTCAGTGATGTCAGGTGAGAATGTGACCCTGAGACGTTGCAGTCTGTCACTCTCTCTCTCTCTTCTCGGGTGCGTCAACGTGTTTTGCTTTATTACTCATTCTGTCCGTCCTCATATCCCTCTCTTTAACACCTCAGCCTCCCACTGACTCACGACGCTCTGCTGTAACGCACTCAGTAGCACTTTGTCATCACATTAGGTCAGAGCAATTTGTCTATGATGCAAATCCCAAGGTTACTTTACCTCTCGAGTTGCTTGTCAGTTGATATTTAAATGAACTCCGCTGCACGGGCCACTGTCCTGGAACAAAGCTAGGGATGCTAATCTATCCAATTTTGTGGAGTTATGATGTGTGCTTGTCTCACTTCCTGTTATAAATGCACAAGCCCCCTGGCAATGTGAAATCACGTAATAGTAATAATGACGTGTCATCACACACGTCCTTGTGCTCAGAGGAACATAAATAATTACAGTAGATGCTGGAGATAAGTAGGAAGGTTTTGTTTGCTTACACGACCCATGCTTTTCCAAACTGTCCTCCATGTGCTTCATCTACACATGCAACAAATACTGCTTCTGATGCTATTTGTAGATTTGATCTGTATTTGTGGGAACCAGTTAGTATGCTTCACTCTTCACATTGCTTCTTGCACAGGTTTTATAAACAATGAACAAAAAGATCTGTAATCCAGCTGTATTTGTAAAACTGTGTGTATTCAGTGATCTTGACTGAGAAATAATGACTCAGCGCAGAAGAACAAACATTTTAGAAAGTTGGAATACGTTTTACAAAACGAGTCTCAGACTGAAGTTTCAGCACGGTGCACAACAACTACTTCTGTCTGGATGAATGTTGGTGAAACATGAACCTCTTAGTCTAATCACACCATTTACTCATAATTAGGATTGATAGAAGCTTTTTAATATTAATTTTATGTCTCTTTACTCTGAGTGTCAGCTTCCACCTGTAAACACTCATAACATGGCTTCTCTGTCATTTACACTCAAACCCAAAATGTACATGCTCATTTACCCCAAAAAGCTGCAAATATACATTAAAAATGGTTAACTAACTAAAGACATGTTCAGTGTCACAGTTTGTGGGGGAAAACTTCCAAACTACTGTAGTCTGATGGGTGTCAACATCCAAAGTCTTTATTTTATATTATAGGATTTGTAGTAGGGGCGGCACGTTGGCTCAGAAGAGCTGCCGCCTCTCAGTGAGAAGGTCGCTGCATCGAATCCTGGCGAAGGCCTTTTTGGGTGGAGTTTGCATGTTCTCTCCGTGCATGTGTGGGTTTTCTCCTGGCATTCCAGTTTCCTCCCATAGATCAAAAACATGCATATTAGGCTGATTGGTAACTATAAATTGTCTCTAGATGTGAGTGAGAGAGTGAATGGTTGTTTGTCTCATCTGTCTCTATGTGTCCCTGTGATGGACTAGAGACATGTCCAGGTGGCCCCCGCCCCTCGCACAATGATTGCTGGACATGGGCACCGGCGACCCATGTGATCCAAAATGGAATAAACGGGTAAAGATAATGGATGGATGGATGTATCTATGAGGGATGATATGCAATGCCGCTGGACAGAACATGAGGTCCAAGCAAAGGACAAACAAATAAATCACAGTTTAGAAGAAGACTGTGGCTACTGAGGAACTCTTGTTTTGTGGTTGAACCACAGAAGCACAAGGGAACTGGAAGAATTAAAAAGGAAGCTGATGTGAAAATCAGCTCACGAAAAATGAAAAGGATCAACATTAAATGAGTCAATGTTACATCCATATATATGATAATAAAAAAGTCTTTATAGAGTTCAAATATTCAGTGAAAACAACTTGTTTCCTTTCCTAATGATTGATCATCAGTGTAAGCTGCAGCAAATACTGCAGCCTTGTGTTGCTGACACGTTCACATCAAACAGGATCCAGACCCCCTCTGCTGGTTGTAAATTATTATGACAAGCACATAATGGGCACATGGTTGGAGTTTGAAGGTTAAGTAACACACTCATCATTTTATGTGATGCAGACTTGAGTAATAACATTCCATAATCAAATATCCATCCTGTGTCATCTGGTTATTTACAGCAAAATGCTCTTAGGAAGCAAACTGTGTCTATAAATAGAAAAAATTGCAGACACTTATCAATCATCCACCGCCTCCCCCACCCAAGTCCTCTCACCTTACAGAGACACGATCCAGCCTGAGGGCCATCTGAACCAGGTGCTTCTATTAATTACTCTGCAGAGTTGGGAAATATGATCCCATTCCAGTTTGACTTTGGCACTTCATCAATAGGCCTGACAGGTTCCCATCAGAGGGTTTGAGAGCGTGGCATGGCGTTCCACAGGGTGTCAACTTTGACTGTGGATTATACACTACTTCCAAGCAGCATTATGGAATAACTTTTCTATTTTATTTCTTATAAATTTTAATTATACCAAGGCCAGGATCGTGTCTCAGCCACACTTAATAATCTACCCTTTACTCTTCATATGTTCTCTCTGCTAATTAGTTCATGCAGCTCATGAAATGCGAAGCGAATGGAAACCCCTCTGGAATAATAATCACTGAATTGTTAGAACTGAGACTCATTGAAATATTGTCTTAAATGTTATCCATGTCGTATTAAGACTGGTACTAGAGCTCAACTCGGGCTTTTGCTGATATGTCGGTCCTTAATTAATTTCTAATAAAAGAACATTAAAGCAGGGTAAAAGTTTTTTTTGTGTGTTTGTGTGTTTTGGTTTATGTAAAACATATTATCCAAGATATTTCCAACAAACTGCTAAAATAACATTAAAGTCATTAACATTTAAGTAATTCATGTAATTCATTCAAATATCACTTGCTGCCTTTCGTGACAATGGTTTAGGAAAATATATATTTTATTGACTTTATGTTGAGAAATGGAATTGTGGTAGTAGTTTTTAGTGAACCTGTGTATAATACCCGTGTATAATAACCAATGTAAAATAAACCTGTGTATAATACCCGTGTATAATAACCAATGTATAATAAACTTGTGTATAACAACTTGTGTACAATAACCTGAGTATAACATATGTATAATAAACCTGTGTATAGGAACCTGTATACTAATGTGTACTATAACCTGTGTAAAATAACCTGTGTATAATAAAGTGTATAACCTGACTAAAATAACGTGTATAATATGTGTATAATAACCTGTATAATAGCATGTGTATAATAACCTGTATAATAGCATGTGTATAATAACCTGTATAATAGCATGTGTATAATAACCTGTATAACGTGTGTATAATAACCTGTATAACGT